GGACTTCCTTGCTTCAGATGATTCGGTGAAATAGATAATGTCAGTGAGGGCAGACAGTGCAGTTGTCGTGTTATCCTGTCTCATTTCCTTTTGCAACCTGTAATTAATTCATCACTGTGGTGGTCCTTCGCTCAGGAGAAGAGCTGAGCCACATTTCTGACAACGTTGGCCTTTGTCTGAGGCTCTGGCCAAAACTTCAGGGATGTAAGGTGATTAACTAAAAAGGGATTTAGATATTACCTGTGGGTTTCAATATCAAGGTCAGGCCTGACACCAAATAACTGAGAATTTATTCTATAAAACACCAAGGCAATTATAGGTCTATTACATTAATTTTCTCTTTCAACCACCACTCTTTCTAAATCTTCTTAAAATGTCTCTTGAGTAATAGCAGAAATAGGGACAAACTTATCTCATAGATTTATGCCTTTTTAAAAAGTTGAGTTTAACATACTTTTTAGTTCTTATTGAATGTATTTGATTTAAGTCTCCAGACCAGGAAACCACCACTTCCAAGGGAATAAAACTCTGCATCGGGTTCTAAGGAATGAGCTTTAATGCATCAAATTGTAATCACAGAAAAGAAGACCTGACTGCACCATTTTACATTGAAGCAGACCTTTGGTGCACTGAATACTCAGTGTGTTGCAAGGAAAACAGAAACTCACCATCTCTCCAGACTCTCCCATGAGCACATGGATTGTCCTGACTCTTGACTAATTGTCCAAGTTATTTCTTGCTTCCTGAAATTCTTGCCACCTGTTAGGCATACCAGTTCTGGAATACTAACCTCCCTATCTCAGGCCAATCTTACCTGCCCCTCTTCGTTCACCTGGCCAGCTAGTCTGTGCTAACTTGTCATCTTAACCTCTTCCCCAGGCAACAAAACTGGATGTAGGTAGGCCAGGCAGATAGCCAATGGGATTGGGCAGGGATGAGCTATCGGGGGATTAACAAATTCAGGAATGTCGGAGGAGAGACTCAGTTTTGCCACAAAGGTTCTTCCCAGGATATGGGCAATTGGGCAAATCGTGAGCAGGTATATGTTTGACTCCTAGATGTCAAGGTCACTCTTTCAAAGTCTTCATGCACTTGCTGGTCTGTTTTAGAGTTTCTGTGTTTTAAGTATCTTTTTTTTTCGATGTCTCTGCTATCAGGCTTGCATTCCTTCAGAAGACAGGCTGTGCCCTGTGAATTTATTTTTTATTTCATCATCTGACTAGAGCCTGGCTCCAAGAAGGTGTTTATTGTTTGCTGGCCAAATGTGTAAGGAATGGCAACTAGACCAATAATTTGCAGCTTCTTTGCAAATGTTTTCTTTGTAGGGCATTTTAAATTAAGCAACCACAAACCTTTCTTTGAATGAAATGTCGGCTTAAATATTCCAAATTTTAATGGGTTGATTGACTCCAGTTTAATGCATGACATATATTTCTATAACTTTATACCCTGAAGAATTTCAGATAGTCAAAATCAAGTGACCATCGTTACTGAAAAGGACTGTGGACTCAAAGCAGATTTGGTGGCTGCAGTCAATTAGGATGAGTAACAATATGAGAAGGAACTGGTTTGGACAGACTAAGTGGGGAGAGTTCCTTCATCTGGAAGTTTTTCATACCAGAACTGCAGATGAAGGAGCACAGTGGCATGCAGAGTCTCTGCAGAAATGTTGCTAAGAATATCAAAGATGCAGGAGTAGCCCATGAAAATCAAACAATTCAATTAGAATACAATCTTTTAACTTGTTGGTTTTATATTTTTTGTTGAATAGAAATCAGCTGCTCTCTTTGAGGGACTCTAACTCCATTATGAAGGAGCAGTGCATCGTAATTTGCTATCTAGAGCCACAAGGATTTGAAATTTTTAATGTCCCCCTGTAAAAAACAGTGCTTTTCTCCCTTATTCTCCTTTTAGATGTAAGTGGAATCAATTGGATTTTGCTGGAATGAAGCCTGCTCTATGTGTTTGTCTTATTGTTTGGACATTAGCTTTCTGCTGTGCTGTCTTCAAACAGGTCACCCTTTCGTGATGGAAGGATGGAAGAGTAGAAGTTACCTGAGTCAATTGTCCAGGCAAGACAGGGAACCACAACCCGGAAGACAGGCCTTGGACAGGAGGGCAGGAGGGAACTTGTGTCTCTCTCAGGCCTCCTCTTTTGGCTTTGAGTAGTTTAAACCAGTGATATTCTTTCTACTGATGTGTCAAAATTAGTTGTGAAGCATGTTGCAAATCATTTGTCATTTAAGTTTTTTTTTCTTCTCATCTGTAAGAATATCTCAAAAATTTTAATATCATATGTGGGAGTTAATTTAGGCAAAAAAGAAATTGTTTGGGTACAGAAAAAGGACTAACAACAAACAGTGTGTAAGCCATGGGTCGTCAGGCCATGCTAATTTTACCTAGGATCTTAAAATAATCAAATAAAAATGTGACAACTTAAATTCAGGATTTAGATTTCCCTTGTGAAGGATGTGGACCAGGGCATTGGAAAATGAAAAGGTCTGTGTTTGCTTTTGAAAAGAGCCATGAGTTCTTCAGTTGCTTTACTGCAGTTTAGAGCATTGCCTTAGGTATCGGGCATCTTTAGTGGGTTTGAGGTCGTTTCAAATTTTACTAGCTGTCTCAGTTGGGTGAAGAGGGTCTGTACATTGGTTTGTGTGACTCTGAAACTAGGACCTGTGAGGACAAGGTAGGAGGTGGCAGAGAGAGGACATGATATCCTGCAGTTCCCAGCAGTGGCGCCCTCTTCAGGAGGAGAGTAAGCTCCTTGGAGCTGGCTGAGCGCAGGTCAGGGCACTGTTTCTCAAACTGTCACTATGACTCCAGTAGGAAATACATTTTACACCTGACACAAACAAAAGGAAACAATATTTATTCCTTACTACATGTGAGGCACTCTAATTTCTATTTCATTAAAAAAAAGTGCTGGTTTATGACCCACTGGTTGGTGAGCAGCAGCAGTTTGAAAAACTCTAGATGGGAGCCTGGCTACTCCAGCGTCAGCATCATCTGGGAGCTGGGTGGAAATGTGGGCTCTTGACTCCTCCCCGCACCTACTACATCAGAATCGGCATCTAAGGTGATTTTTACAATGAAAGAGTCATCAAATTTAACCAGAGCGACTCACTCCCATTTGTGTTCTGGTATGTGGGAGCAAAGGAGATGGAGACAGCAGGCATTTTTCAATTACAGCTGATGTCACAGGAAAGCAGTGCTGAGACCGGCATGGATAATGTCTTTCTCAAGTGGGCTGCAACAGAGTAAAGGCTCTGACATCAGGTCTAGCTGTATTTGAGGGACCTCTGGGTGGTGGGGAAAAGACAGCCTGTGTCACCTGATGGCTGGCCAGGAGCTGAGCACTAAGCCCATCCAATAAATCAGAGTATCTGTTATTTCCCTTTTGCTATCCCCAGTCCTTAGCAAAGTTTCCCAATTATTCTAGCTTTGTCCCAACTGTGCTAAGGACAATTAGGGACAAGGTCTGGACATAACACCGGCTGTAACACTGGAAGGGGGAGGTGATCAGTTTCGTGATAGCAATGGTGCCTCCTGAGATGTCCCTGAGGGAAGGTGAGTCACAGAGAACAAAGGCTGGGATTATGAGACCCAGCAGTCCTGATCCGTGGAAGATATGGTCCTCTGACAACTTCAAAGACTCTGGATCTGGCTGTGCTGGGAAAGCTGGTGGCCCCTCTACAAATGTTCCTTAGCTCTGTGCCTCACTGAGGCTGTTAAATTCTGTCATTTGATACTTAGTCTCAGAGTGCCTATAGAGACCATGGATGTGTGCAGCTTGGCCCTCTTAGGTTCAGAGATGTGCAGTCCACTTCTAGCTTGTGAGACTTCTAGAATGATCATGTTTTAAAATTAGTTACATAGAAATGAAATAGGTCACAAAGAAAAGTCAAAAGCTCTGCTAAGCCCCCCCCCCCCCCCAAATCATCACACCCATTATTGGAATGAATCTGGTTTTTGTGTACTGTTAGTATTACTATTAAACCTGGTGAGAATGTGTGAATGCTAAAAGCTGAATAATTGTCAAAATGGGAGGCCTACATTGGGCTTGTAGCCTCAGTCATGCCTTCTTATGTTACCTCTGATCATCTCTGTTCACTGCCGCCAAGCACCTGGGACAGGGACGGGACATCTGGTGAGACTCCTGTGGTTCACAGTGGTGGCCAAGATGGTATGACCAACAAATCTGGCTTCCCAAATGGCTGATCCAATTATGTGATAGCTTATCGAGAAGCAAAACATACTTCAAAGCAATCACTTTGATGGCAAAATTTCACGCCTTCCACAGGAGGAATTTGTTTTGGTCCTCCAGCTGTCACACCTGTGCTGCCTAAATGTCAATAGCACGAGGCATAGGTTTAACTTGGAGGGAAGAATTTAGACTATTATCTGGCGGATTCAGGTTCCCAAACCTGACATTTTTGGTACGTTCAGATCATCGGAGCTGGTATGTTTCGTGGCCCCAGTATATCTGGTGCCTTTCTTTGCATCATAAGTATCAGATAAGAAAATTTTTTTCTCTATTCTTAGTATCTTCTGGAATCTCACAATTTTGAAACTGGGGAATTGATTTTTTCACTCAGGTGTGGGGGTCGTTAAACTATCTTTTAATACATTGTTCACTCTTGGCAAAATTCTGATTAAAAGTAGGAAATATGGTAACCAAATATTCAAAAATATGCAAAAGCGCTCCTCTCAGCTCCTCTCAGCAATGCCAATAGTTCTCAGAGCAAACCTACTCTAACTATACTTTGGCTCTGAAATCAGATAAATTTAATAAAAATAGAAATGAATGATTCCATTCTTTATGAAATAAGACAAATTATGCTTTGGGAGAAAATAATTTGCTATAAAGTATAAAATGTTTTAATATTTATATCTTATAATAAAACCACGACATGTTTATAAACACTCTATCAAGCATTTTTACAACGGGGCCACTGCTGACAACTGGAAACGCAATAAATATGCACAGACACACTGAGTATGAAATATACATCTTGATTTTATAATCGTGTGTGCTTTATTTTTTACACAAATGGAATGGAAGTGTCGAATATTTACACTTAACAGGAGTGTAAGCTGTGCAGTGTCTCTGTAAACTCCAGCCCAGGCAAGGAGCATTTCCCCCTCCCTCCCATCCTGCACTACAGCTCGATGGAGAACATCCTGTCAGAGAGAAGCACAAAACTGTCATATTGAAAGAATCTAACGGGTACAGCCTGGTGCACTCAGAAGTTAAGACACATTTAGGAAACACAAGTTCAAAAAGGAGATAAGAAAAGTTTGCCATCCCATTGGGAGTCAACCTTCTCATTTGGTTGTCTGTCCTCACGAGTTGCTAGGGAGATTCTGTATTCTGTCTTCTGGATGATCTTTGTCTAAACTGTCCACCTGTCTTAGCTTGTCCTTAGCTGCTACAAGAAACTGCACAGCTGTACAAGAAATGATTTCCGAAGCACAGTTTTCAGTGAGGAAGGATATTTACAGACTGGAGTGTGTGTGGGTTTCCATCCACATTCATTCATACCCAATGTGGTATGTGTATGCATGATATACATACCACATATATCATACATACACATAAGCAAAATGTATATCCACAGACTTCTGGAGGGAGTCCTCTGGCAAATCAGTTGTCACAGGAGGTACTCCACATGCTCTAAGGGAAATGTTCCTTTTTTTCCCCTAGGAGTGACAAATTACTATGATAAACTTAGGAACTAGCCTGAGTCCTTGATTTACATATTTTTGTAGGAATTTAGGCAGGATCAAGACAGGAAGAAAGAGATGTTATTTCACCAGCGAGTCCATTCAATCTCACCAGAGCAATCACCAGCTGAAAAGCCGAGGGGGCTTCACATGAAAATGGGAAAAAGAAAGCTTATGAATGGGAAAAAAAGTCTCTCTCCAAACCAAGGTGATGGCATGGCTTCAGTGAGAAGGAAGAGGTTTGCTATCAGAATAATTGTTGGGGCCAGAGTCTGCCTTTAGTAACAGGAAGTGTCCTCAGAGCCATGGGATGGTGCTGGGGGTGGGCTCCCTTTGGACCAGGCTTCAGGCAGGGGGACACCCAGGTGCCGTCAGGGCCCAGAGCACATGCATCGTCGCTGCCAGGGCAGCGGTGCAGGCTGGCTCAGTGAGGCATGCTGGAGCTGCTCCGGGGCAGAACCTCATGCTCAGCTTTGCTTTCTGGGCTGTGTGGGTGAAATGGTGACCCAAAGTATTTGTGTCATTAGTCCAGCATATGGACTTGCTGTCTGAATCAGCCATGAGCCCTTATAGGACGGAAAACTTAAGGAGCAGGGTGTGGGCGAGGAGATGATCAGAGATATGAAGAGAGAGGAAAGGAGGGGAAAGAGGAATCAGAAGGGAAAAGAGAGACAGAGACTAAAGGAGAGAGAAAGAGATAGAGGAATAAAGGGGAGGGAGTAAAACAGGGGTATAGGAGAAAGTCAACAACAACTTGGGGAAGACAGGAAGGAAGGATAAAAGGGAGAGGAACACAGAATTAGAGATGGAATGAGATAGAAAGAGAAGGGGGAGAGCAAGGAAGAGAAGGAGAAAAAGCCAGAGGCAAGAGCCGGAGGAGTGGTGAGCTTTCCCCTGGCTCAGAGTCCTGAAGGGCTGGCAGTAGGATCTAAGACAGCTCACAGGCACCTGAGTGCGGCTTTGTAAAGATGGGCTCACTAAACAGAGAGAGCCAACCCAAGAGCTTGGGGCCGGCAGAAAAGGCCTGCAAAGAAACGGCCAACAAATCCTGTGGGAGGAGAGCAAAAACCAAACGCCCCTGCAATTAGCTGACAAATGGGATTTTGATTTTGGTAAAGCTGAGACCCCCGTGGTGCTACACATTGTACCAGAGCATGAAAAATAGCACCAGTGACACGATCTGGCACTTTTCCGAAAGGGCCCAGCATGGGAAGGTGACATTGCGCCCCCAGCAAGCCTTCAGATTGGAGAGAGCTCCGGACAAAGTTTGCAGTGTTAGCACCAGTCTGGCCCCAGGCTCCAAGGGCATTTGCACCAGATGTCATCTGGGTAACTTTCATGCCATTTCCATACAAGACGTCAGATTGGCTGCAAAATACACTGGTTCATTGGAGCCATGGAGACCTCAACATTGGGAAGCGCAAGACAACACAACAAATGGAGGTGTAAATTCTATAGGAAAAGACCCTCTCACCAATTTGCTTGGTGATTCTTCAAGCAAATATATATGTATATATATATTTATATAAATCTACATAAAAAAATCAGTGCAAATGCCAATTCTAATCTGGAAGCATCTACACTAGGAAAATAAATAATTACATTACTACAAAACCAAGGGTTGGTGGTTCAATTTGATTGTACTCAGCCACAGCAATACTTAATATTAAATGGAAAGCACATCACACGACCCGCGGAAACATCTACTCATTAATGACAGTCCTTTAAATAAATGGTTGCATGCTCAGTTGAGAAACCAAAGAAGTTATCATAGTGGCCTAAAAGTAGAGCTGGGATCAGGAATGGCATTCTGGTGGAAGAAAACTTCTGGGAGCAATACTGATGAAAATGGGCCTTGACCTGAAACTGGTGAATTGCAGACATGGACACATCCTAAACATTTTGAGCACTCTTAAGGAAGTCTCCGGAAATTTAACTTTCAACAGAGGGAAAATGCATTGCTAGCCCTTCCATTGGCAAAGGCAGCCTCAAGACTATAGGTAGATGCATCATTTTACACATTTGTGTTTTGGTGACTGCAGCCAGGCAGACAGTGATATTTAGAGTAAGATGAAGAACGCTTGTTTTTGGAAAGAGACCCTCATTCTGAGCTCTGATGTTTTACTGTGAAGAAGCCCCATCGCTGCTGATGGCTCTGTCTCTTGCTCTCACACCCCAGCCTGCATGCTGGTTTGCTGCACAGTGTGGCAGAATCCCTGCCAGGTCTGGATGTACCCCAGAAATAAGGCGATGGGGCTTAGTCTGGGCATGCGTAGAACCCAGAGTTGAGTGGTTACTGAGATCACTGAAAAGTCTCTCTCTAAACACCTTGGACACAAACAATGCTGATGTCATGTCATCATCAGCTCTAAAGCAGGATATAGGCTTCAGAAGGTTTCTCTTTTTAATCATCATTATTATAATTGCCAAAAAAATAAACTTGGTCCAGGTGCAGCCCCCAGAAAGGCAGTTCAATTGGTTGAGCTCAAAGTCGTTAATTGTCTTTCCTCATGGTTCTGTCTCTCTGCCCTGTACACGGAAACAAAAGTCTGCATCCCTCACCCCACAAATGGATTCTTCTTTTCTCTCTCTCTTCCTCAAAGAAATAGTGCATCCTGGAACAGATCTCTCTCCATGGCTCTGTACCTTCTCTGGCTGTTATAAAACCTTCAGTTTCATGTGAAACAGACCAAAAAAAAAAAAATCCTAATTACTTATGATTGGCTGAAATACTAAATGATCCTTTAAGAATTGTATGTAAGTAACTAGGAACAAAGTTATTCAACTATTTGCATGGCAGGTCCAGGTTGTTTAATAAGAAAAAACCAAAAACTTCCTTTAGATTATTTGCATGAGTTTGTCTCTGAAAGCCATCAGCTTAAAAATGCATTAACCAAATGTCTTCCAAAAGCATCCATGAGGGCAACTCATTAAGGGATGTGCTCCATGAGAGTGTATCACTAATATGGAAGGGAGATCACGGGAGGTAAGTGAGGGAGAAGTCTTTGTCAGACTTTGGAAGGAACTCAGATGCTCTGAATGGATTATTGGCAACAAAAGGGAGAGTGCAACTTTCAGTTCTTGAATTTGATCATCAGCTGCTGATAGTGCATACATTTAGTCTTTCAATTAATTAGTCTTTACAAAATATTTCACAAAACTTTTAACCTATAGAAATTCGTTCTATACATTTAATATATTTTATTGTATAAATTAGTCTCATCTTTAGTGCCTTCTTTCAGTTTATAAATGGCGAAATAGACAATAAACAATCATAAAGCTAACCCCAGGTGGAATCCCCTCCTCAGTAAGGTCAGTCCTCCGTACACTTGCGAATTTTATGAAATGCTTGTCTTTGCAGATGCCAGTCAAAGAAACTACACACTTATCCTTCCCTCATGTTATGCTGTCTCCAAAGGGACTCCTTTCTTTTTTCCTCCTTTCTTTCTTTCTTTTGCTTGTTAAGAAATCAAAGGATGTGCATAGTTATAAAATTCGAAGTGTACCAATTACAGATGTGGGTAATGGGAAGGTGGGTGAAGTTCAAGTGCTGGCAACTTTTCTTTAAAGCAAAAAAACACAGAGCGCTCAGCAGCTTAATCAGCTCTGGACATCTGCTGGGGTGAGGAGGCTGCCCATCTTTTGGCAGAAAGCCCGTCAGAGGTTCATCCTACACCTGGCACTTTGACCAAATCAAACCCTTCCTGCGTACTGCAATGTCTCTTCTGTCCCACCCTCCGGCCCCGCCGTTTCCTTCATGGCTTCACACAGTTTGTGTTGTACATTCATAAGAATTCACATTGACTGCAAAAACATAAATGCAACAAAAACATAAAAGCCTCCAAGTAGTATATTATATATATTTTGTTCTTCTAAATGCTCTTCTGTTGTTGTTGGAGGTGCAGTAGCTAATTTATAACTTTTCCTTTGAGGGAATCCAGATGAAAGGCCCAGATTGCTCTTCAATAACAAGCTTGCATTGATTATAGATATCTTCTAAGGTGTCTCCTTGGACGATAGCTAGAACAAACCAAACACACCGGAGTTACGAATCATTCCCGGGGCTGAAGAACAACCATCAACCGCACAGCAGAAGCTCAGGTCAGTGACAGTCAACTCATCAGGAAGCTTAATCTTACTTTTCATTGGTAAGAAAAAGTAGGAAATTCATTTACGTAAGGTCACATCAATGATTTAAAAAAAAAATGCTTTTGAGGCATGTCCTGGATCGATAGTAAATGCACCACAGTCTTTCCACTTTCTACATGTTTGTCTGTAGTTCTGGACAATGAATCATCCATTTATTTAAATTTTATGAGTGTCTACTCTGGGCCAGGCACTGAGCTACTCTGGCGTTGATCAATTTTCAGATTGATAGCTCCCTGTTTATCAAAGAAAGCTGGTCTTATAATCTCTGTGCCATACTTACTCTGTCAGGTAGAAATTCAGATATTTTCGACACAGAGGAAATAATATTTTGAAATAAATTTTATTTAACCTCCTCAACCCCTGAAGCCTTTAATAGGAAACCCCATTCATTCTCCAAGTAATCTGCTAAACTGAGGTATTACCATACAGGGCTGCTCACGTTAAGAATCCCTTACGGCAACTACTTATAAGAAAGATAAATAGGAGGAAACACAAACAAACTGCTAAACTGTGTATTATCTAAAACACCAAATCACTTAGAGTAGATTTAAATACATTTTATTTTCTCCTTTGAGCAAGAGCGATCTTGTAGATTGATCCCCAAAACACTTCAGTACTATCTACATGACAGTAGAGCTTAAAAACAGATTGCTACTGAAACATGGTTTAGATCTTTAAAAACAACTCTCAGAATATATTGACTACTGTATTTTATTTCTGAATATAAACCACTGGTCAAAATGTACATTGTTTTGATTTGATGTTCCCACCTGGATGTTCTTTTAGGATGAAACATAAGTCATATCTTTGTTATTGATAGAAGCTTTACTTAAGATCACCCAATTCAACATATTTGCAAATTGCTAAGCCACAGGGGTTTTCACATTCTGAATAAGATAAAAAATAAAACATCTAACTTCAAATAAGGTAATTCAGGAGGAAAGTTCTTTTTAAACCATCAGTCGTAGGGCAAATTCTACAAAGTTTGTTTACTCTGTGGATTTGATCAGCGTCTCATGAAAGTACATAAGAATAGAGGACTCAGGATACCCAGGACAATAAGATCTTCCTTTATTCCTCAAACTCAATGATTCCAAGGAAATATTTAAAAAGAAAAAAAAAGTTTTACATTGATACTTGACATGGAGTTAGTTGAAACACAGGGGAAGCATTTCAAGCATCTTGTTCAAGTGCTGCTAATGGAGAGACAGGCATGAAGGTCGTTAAGTGGAGAATAGAGGCCCAGAACTTGCTTCTCAAGAGGAACTGCTTTGGACACTGCACCTTTCGAGCCCTAAAAGTTTCTTTTTCAAGTTTTCTGATGATATCCAGGAGATAGTTTAATGAAGTATAAATTCCTAAAATCTCCTTAATTAGCAGGAGATAGCTCAGTGGCATCTGCCACTCATGGTTTTAGATAGGGCCAATGGGAACCTGGAAGCTGGCTGCGGCTGAATCCAGAGAACAGAGAACCCAGAGTTCTGGATCCAATGGGAGAAGCAGAAAGAAATGAGAGATCTCAGCAGGAGGGTTTTAGGGCCCAGGTGTACCAGGCCCAGAGCCCTCTTTATTCCAAATCTTCTTTCTCACAGTAGGGTAAATGAACTCACCTGTAAAATATTCTCCAAATTCTTGTTCTAGCTTAATTGCACGATCATAAGTTTTCTTGGCTTGTTCCTCTGTTAGACGCTTATTCATCTCCCTGGGAAAATGAGAGTTTGGAATTAGAACACACAGGGAATATACTAAATTCTGAAAAATTAAAATCTATGGCAACAATGAATCCTACAGGAAGCCTAGCGTAATCTTAGCAGCAGCTTCCTAGTCCTCATTTGGGATTCTTCTTTGCCGGAATAATTTCAGCAGCAAGGACCCCCTCCCAGGAGCTCACTGTCTCAGAGGGCAGTCTCTTGGTCCACATTGGATTCAAGCAGAATCTGTGTCCTTATGGTTTCCAGTCACTGGTCCCTGTTCTGTCCTCTGCAGTCCTGTAGAGTAGGACTAAACTTCCTTCCTCCATGGCAGGCACTGGGGTCTTTAAATCAAGAGCTCATGTGTCCCTTGAGGCTTCCACTCCCTCAGAATAAACTGTCCTACTTCCTTCATCTATGCTTTCATTAGATGGCCACCCTTGGGTTTCGTTCTAGTCTATCTCAACCTCTCTTTAATGTGGGATGTAAAATTAAATGAAATATTCCAAGGGTGGTCAGAGGGAAGAGAAGACGTGGAAAGAAGGAAAGGTACATCACAGCATTTTGGACCTCATTACATCTGAGAGAACAAGACTCGACTGTTCTCAGGTCCTGACCTTGCAGAAGGCTTTGACTCTTCCACTCCCACATCCTCCCCAAGGGCTGCTGTTCGTCTTCACTGTGTAGCAGGAAACATGCAGAGTGGAGAAACATAGAAAGTGCTTCCAAAGAATTATAGAAAATGTGACAGGCCCCTTAGGCGTGTTTATCTTTCAGTTCGAAAAGGCATTCTGCAGCTCTTGCTGCTCGCCTTCTGCAAATGGTGAGGCAAGTCTATAGCAACCGGAGCCCTGACCTTCCTGTTTTCATAATCAAATGGAACCTTGAGGAGCTGCTAAAGAAGGCTTGAATTAAAATGGACACAGAGAATGCAGCAATCAAAAGCACTGGGACCAAAATATTTTCAAATAAGCTATGAGTAAGTAACACCAAATAGTGAACCAGGATAGAGGAGCTTGGTAAGAGAGAAGTTCCAATGTCTACTTTTATTTTTCTTCTGATAGTAGAATGGGCTCCAAAGGAATTATGCCTGAGACTCTCTGTCCCTTTCTCTCTGTTAGTCTGTCAACCATTGGTGTGTCATTAATGATTAAGTGCTGCTTAATCATTGTAAGATGACTTAAATCCAACCTAGTCTCAAGGACAAATTGAAGTGGGAGGGAAATGGAAAATAACATCTACTGATTCCTAACCAGTGGCAGCTTTAGTCTCCCACTCCTCTAGGTGTTAAAATTTTTTTGTCTACCAAACATCTGCACTTATTAAACAAAAATTATTTTACCTTCCCATTTTTCTTAATCAAAGACATTATTAATCAAAGACTGACAATCATTGCCTCTGATCATCGTAAGAATACTAGTGTGACTGCACTAGGCTGGTAAAAGTCCAGCCAAGAGCAAAGACATTTTGGTTGGTCCATTGGGATGCGTTTCAAATGTGTGTAGAATTTCAGAAGACTTGCTGCACTGCTGCCTTTGCATGCCACTTAGGAAGCCAGAGATTGGACTCCAGAGCATGTGGTCTTAACCAATTCCCTTTTCAGAGCAAGTAACTGAGGCCTGAAGTAGTAAAGGGGCTTGCCTAAGGTAAAAGAGTAAATCTGATGTAAACTCAAAGTTTTTGTTTTTGTTTAACAATTTTTAGTCAAATAGACTTTCCATTATACCAAGACTTTCTTTCAAAAGACTCTTATTTGGAAAAAATAAAAAACCGAGGTCACACATTAACATGAAGCTGATGGCTGCAATATAAAGAAGTGGGAATGTCTTGTTGTTGTATAAACTCATCTTGCCCTAAGGGATGGTATCTATAAATCTCCTCCTAAGTGGCACTAGCCCTAGAAGCTAGGAGTGGTTGTCACTCTTGGGTGCAGAAGATGCTGGGCTAAATCCAGGGATACTTTTCACAGTGTCTGTTTTGCTGCAGATGTCAAGAAGTCAGATAACTCTGGATCTTCTTTGACTTCTCTGGTCCATGCTGGTTTGTCTTCTCTGAATTCCCTTTGCATTTGTTGTAGCAATGAGTGAATTTAAGCTTTAATCCTCTAAAATATAAACTTGTTTTATCTCCTTGCTTAATCTTTGATTTCTTTGAGGGCAGAGATCATGGCTTGTTCATCAGAATATGGTGTGGAGCCTGACTCAACATGCGTTTGTTGAATGAATAAGTGAATGAATGAAGAGCTGGATAAATAAACGTAATTATGATATAGTTGAAGACAGAAGTCAACAAAAGCCATCATGGGAACACGAAGGTAAAAGTAGATTGGAGGTGGCAGGGTCAAGAGACATGGGAAAGCTTCTCATTGCCATGGGGTGAAGGCAGGGAATATAAGTCACATGGAGGAACAATATAAAAAGAACATCACTTTAGTGTATGCCCTTGATTTCATGCTCCTCTGAAGAGTCAGCTATGTATGTGCTAATAAGCTCTGTGGTTTGATGTGGATGATGCACTTGAGAAATAATGTGTGCGATGATGTATCAATGCCTAAATGTGACAGCTGTCATACTTTTGTTCCAGCTGACCTAGCATTCACTCCTCCCTGGGAAATGGGCAATTCATTCCAGCTTTGCTCCTGAAGTAAAGCCCTCAGAAAAGAGTGAACTGAAACAGTAAACATCTAGCGTTTACTAATACGATCACATTGGTTTGAATGTCACCATTCCTGTACTCGAGACCTATGAATATGGCTGCAGCAAATTCTGTCAGATTCACTGTCCTCCTTGTGGAATCTGCCTTCTGTATGTTTAATTTTCCTTGGTGATAAGTGGCTGTGACAGTGTCCTAAGGCAAAACTAAATAAGTCATCTCGCAGTTGTGGAAGGAAGTAGACCCTCTCCTACAGGCACCATATGGGACTATCTCCCACTATCACACTGAACCAAATGTACAACTGCTGCTTCCCCCTCAGGCCTCACTACCCCAGAAGCCATTTATCCCACTGCATGTTTATGATATGAAAACTTATTTTTCTTTTTCTGAAACAGGTCTTTAAGATGCTGTTCCTAGGAGGGGAGGGGCATTTTTCTATTCTTCTTATAAGTGTTAGCATTACTGATAACATATATGAAGCTCTTTACAAAGATTGTAAATCACTTTTACATAATGAAATTTATGGTTGCTTAATTCACTTTGTGCAATGCCCAACACAGAATCCTACACGAGGAGAAATTTAATACATGCTATTGGGGATAATACTATCAAGAACCATTATTTTATCATCAACACATATTTTTCCATGTACCAACTTTGGCAAAGCTTTTTATGGTATAATTTAATACTAAACTCATGGGGCTGAAGGTACTGTCAGTGACCTCCTGATTTTATTTTTTCATCTTGGGAAGAACCTTTGTCCATATTTTATTTATGGGAATATATTTTGCTTTTAAGATACATCTCTGGCCATTTTCCCAGAGATCAGCCACGTATTTAACTCAATTCTCTTAGACTGCAATTCCAGCTACTGCAGCTCGCTTCGCTTCTTCACCCTCAGAGAAGGTGCGAAACAGTCAGTCGATACCCTCTGCAACTAACTGCTTTCACCTCTGGGACTCGGTAATTTCATTTTCTTTGGTCTTTTCATAAACACTGTTTTCCAGTACTTTGTGGTTCACTTATGAACCGTGTCAAATTCTTCAAGGTCTTGAGGCCCAGATAGAGGCATATTTGAGCCAAGTTCTTGCAGCAGACGCACTGGCATTATCTCTTGTGACCTCTTAGAAAAGGTCCTGTTGATGTGTTTTGTGATGATAAAATAGTTTTATTCTTTTTAAAAGGAAGTAACTTGAAATCTTTCATAGTAATAATAGCTACTGTTTCGTGAGTGCTTACCATATGCTGAAGATCGTATGGAGAGCTTTACATTCATGATCTTGTCTAACCTTCACACTAGCTCTGTGAGGTACATATTATTAATGCGCCTAGTTGAGAGGCAAGGAACTAAATTTTACAGAGGGCAAGCCCCTTGTGGAGGTCACGTTACTGATCAGCGGCAAAGGAAAGAACCACACCTGGCCTGACCACTTTTCAAGTCCCCGCTCTTTCCCCCTTTGTTCTGCTCCTTTATGGCTACTGCAGCCTCATGTTTGTGCAGGAGTCGTCTACAAACCAAAGCCAACGATGTCTATTAAGTTGCCACAGAAACTGTGTTACTTTATAGCCAGATCATGAATATCTGCCCAATTTGCTTACTGCTTTTTGAATGAAGATATTTTACAAGTCCTCTGAAAAATGACAAGTCCAAATCATGTATTTTACCCTTGTTTGTAAAGGCACAGGCATGGAGCTATTGGTTAAGGTGATAGATGTTTTACTGCCGTGCTACTAAGAAAACTCCCTATTAGGGGCCAGCCCAGTGGTGCAGTGATTAAGTTTGTGCCCTCTGCTTTGGTGGTCTGGGGCTTGCCAGTTTGGATCCCAGGCGCAGACCTATGCACTGCTTATCCAACCATGCTGTGGCAGGCATGCCACATACAAAGTAGAGGAAGATGGGCACAGATGTTAGCTCAGGGCCAATCTTCCTCAGCAAAAAATAGGAGGATTGGCAGCAGATGTTAGCTCAGGGCTAATAATCTTCAAAAAAGAAAAAAAGAAAACTCCCTATTAAAGATAGTGCTCTCCATACATGAGGTTTTAATTAAGGGACATAAGAACTCTATGCTAGAACAAAGTGAAATGTCAATGGGAAGAGTCTAAAATACTGTCTGCTCCCTCTATAAAAACCCACACATTTAAAAAGCTTTACCAGTGAAACTGCTCTCAGAAGTAAGAGATAATTCAAAGACAACTGCTTCCTATCTTTTGGAAAACAAAACAAAACAAACCAACCTACCTTCAAAACAACAAAAGAAAGCAAAAAAATCACACGCACCAAAAACAACTTGTAAAATGAAAATAAAAGTCAAGAAACATTAGTGAAGACATTTTAAGAATTACTGACATTATGTCTCTAGTGGTTCAAAGAAACTTTAATATATCTTTATAAAAAGGGAATGCTTGAAAAAATCAGCAATGGCACTTCCCATCTGTAAGCACTTATGATGAAGAGCTGTTAACAATTTGCTGTGTCATGTGGAACAGGGGCTGGAGGAAGGCCTCCAGGGCCCTCCACTTACATCAGAGGTTCCAGAGACTTGGGCTTAATGAAGATGGCAATGGGGTAGAGCTGGGCAACTTGTAACCGCTTGATAGCATTTCCTGATACGTCAAGTATACAGTGTTTGCCCTGGTAGAAAGAGAAGAAAAATATGGAGTTAACCCAGAAACAACGATCATAATCCAACCAAAAAAAATACTCTAAGTATGTTTTAGAGGAAGGTAAGGGGTACTGCATTTCTAAAGGTTGAAAAAAGATCATTGCAAAGCATAAATAAGTTGATACACAAGGTCATCACTGAATGCTTGCAATAACTCATATTTATTATTCCCTTATTAAGTGTCTGCCACTGGGATAGACATTTTACTTGTGTTATCTCAGTTAACTTTATTTTCTTAAATAAATACCTGATGCTTTGCACAAAGAAGATACACAGCCATATGCAATATGACTGATCCATTCTCACGAAACTCTCATAAACCATCTCCAAAGACAATTGTCAAGAAGAAATTCCCTACCTGGGAGGTAGGTATTATCAACTGCATTTTGCAGAAGAGAAGACTAAGGCTTAGAAATATTAACTAACTTGCCCCAAGTCTCAGTGCTAGGAGGACTCACCCAAGTCTTGAGCACTGACAGAATTGTTGGTTGTAATAAATAGATACCTCATTGTCTCACTCTGACCAATGTTAAATCTGGAAGAACGGTAATCATGTGAATTTAGAAGAACTCCATAAACATTTGTTGAGTGCTTACATGGATCCCGCCCTTGATATGCTCAGTCTGGTATAGCAGAGGACAGACACGAAAAGAGTTACCTTAAATATTATATCTTAAATGATGAGAGAGAGGCTTGCACAGTGTATGTAAATTTCTTGTTTGTTAACAAATAAAAACCCTATTACATTATAGTACACCTCATTTAACTTGGCTTCCCCTGCAATGAATGCACAAAGCAAGGAGTTGTTTTATAAAGTATTTCTGGAAAAGCAGATACATTTGCCACACATCATATTCTACCCCCTGGAGAGGAATGGCTTCATTACCCTGAGGCTGGAAGAACTTTTCACAAGAAGAGAAAAAGCATATTATGCACATAGGACAGTCCTAAATCAATAATAGGGGATAAAAACTCATCTATAATATCCACATGAAAACAAAGAGTTCAGTGACTACTTGAGCTCTTATAGGAGAAACACACTAGGATAGTTTAAGCCTTTATCACTTAAGTAGTAAGTTCCAAGTTTGCTATCTGTGAAATGCAGCTGCTATATAAAATGTCTAAATGCTGTTTGATTATTCACCAGCCAAAATATTTCAAGTTAACAAAGGTTGTATCTACATTTTCAAAGAGGAGAAGAGATGTAATTATCCAGGAAACAGATTAGAAACAGTATGATGGAGCTCACAGAACCTAACTTTTGAGAGAGAGGAAAATAGACATAACTTCCTACTGTATTCTCAGATAAACATTAAAATTTCTTATTTAATTGTTTTAACCAGTACATCAAAAGTGGGAAAAAAGGTTGTGTCCAATGAAATCAACCCAGCAAATATGAATTATATAACAAATATGATTGGCTTTCAACTCTTTTTTCCTCCTATGAAGTTGGTTCTCTATGTTTACCGATTAAGATCTATAGGCCGATCTTAAAGCCACACTCGAGTGCCTTCCTAGTCTATTCTCTCTTGAACATTCTCCTCTTTTCCATGCCCTTGAAATTATCAGCAGGAAGGGAATTGCAGCATCTCTAGCTCCTCTAAGTTGGAATTTCTGCCAGTTAACAGGCTAGGCAGTCCTCCCCATCAACCTACCCCTCCACCATGAAGACTTCAAGTTTTTAGGGAGATAAAACAAAACTCCTGCTAACAAAAAGAATTGAGGATTCTGATCTAAACAACCAAGAATAATAAAGCTTCCTTAAATTCAATGTTGTTTACTAGGGCCAAAGATAGGTGAGCAAGGACAAAGTGAATCTCCATAAACTCAAAATTGTTAATTGCCTTTAGGTTTATAGCACCCCCTGCCCCCCGCTCACATCAGTCAACATACTTTATTGAGATTAGAACAAAGATTAATGACCTTGCTCTAAAGTGATTCTCTGCTTAGAGGTCTTAAAAGGAATATTTAATCAAAATTTACAACTGCAATCAGGAAAGAGTAATGACCAAAAAATGCAGTTTGCCACCTGGGAATCCTCCTCAGGGAAGGTACAAGATGATTGGTAAACATACCCTTTCAGCTACAAATCTCACAGACTGCACACTGGTTCCATATAAGTTGTCATTGTACTGGCCAGCTTCTATAAACTTGTGCTCTTGGATGTCTTTCTCCATTTGTTCTCTGGAAATGACAAAGTGATAGTCTCTGCCATCTACCTCGTAGTCACGCTTTGGCCTCGTAGTATCTTTATAAAACAAAAAAATAATGAAATTAAGGTACATTTATACTCATAAATTTCATTTATACCTATTTTCTTCATCACACCCTCAACACAGATATATTAAAAATATGTAATACGATAGCACATGACATAGTAACAGGTATCTGTCTTAGCCTTTTACTGTAAATAGGCAGAAAACTAGACAAAATACATGGAAAAGCTATTTTCAGGCATCAGACAAAGGACAGTGCAGGGCTGTGATTCTTGAGAGAAGAGAAACACATGAGGGGAACTCTACAATCACTTCCATTTCCAATTAGAGGGTCTAGAGGTCACATAATGCTAGGAGATGCTGGAGTTTAGCCAGAACTGGGCATTTGGTTGAGATCTCAGAAAGCCCACATATTAGAAGGGTACTCTAGACTTACTCCAGACTCATCTTCACAAAGTCTAAAACCAAGTCATAACTGGGAGAAGTTGATCTGCCCTTAAATTATTATCTGCCAGCACAAAAACTTAATATTCTATAAAGGAAGATAACAAAATCCAGACTCTCAACAATGTAGCATTACAATGTCCAGCACACAATAAAAGATTATAGGACAAGCAAAGAAGCAAGAAAATGTGTTATATAACTGGGAGGAAAAAAAAAAAAAAATAGACACACAATATAGGTATAGTCAGGAGTTTTAAAAGATGTAAAATGAGATCTTCCAGTTAAGGTGTGACTAAATGTTATGAACTTTAACCATGGTTACAGGTGGCTAAAATTCTTGGTAAGAAGAGAAGGGAAAATAATCTATCAATATGAATAAAAACTTAACATATTTCCTATCTTTGACTCAGATATTCTCTTTCTAGGAATCTATCTTAAAAATTAATGCAAACTTTAGGTAAAGCTTTATCCTTAAAGATATTCATTATATTAATTTATAAATTATAAATAATAATTATATTTTAATTATAATTCATAACAGTGAAAAGTAGAAAACTAAAATACCCATACATGAGGAATGATTGACATAATCATTGAAAATATTTATATAAAATTTTAAATAACATTAAGCAAAAAAAATTGTGTATATCTTATATGTACCAAACCACAAGAGAAAATGCATGCATAGGAAGAAAGAATAGATGGAAATTTATAAAAATATTAACAGTGATGTTATCTTTGGGTACTTGGGTGTGGGATTCTGCATGTTTTTTTATTTTCTTGTTTAACTTTCTTTTTAGCATTTTCCAAGTTTGGCACAGTAAACATATATCAATCATTATAAAATAGTGCTATTAAAAAAAGAGAAAGAGAAGAGAGTTTTGGTGGAGGGGAAAGTGGAAATGGTGTTTAAGGATTGGTTCTGAGCTTTTTCTTTCAAAAGTGGAGGAGCAAACAGGAAGCTACTATGAACAGACTAGGGTTTGACTTGATTGTTTTTATCTAGAGTCTTTCTCAGGATATGTACTATGGCAGGATCTCTTCCCAGAGCCTTTGCTGGGGACAGTTTCATGAGATATCGCAATCATCCTAGCTCTTGTGTGCCCATGTATTGCACACATGCAATTCCTGCTATTCTTATGTATTCCAGGTGACATTTGCAGTACTGAAATGTAAGAGACACTGCTAAACATAAAGCTTAAAAATTGTAGAGTGAGAAAGAAATATTTGTTGGGATCAGATTTAAGAGCTTAATTAAATTAAAATTTCCTAGTGAGTTTGTCTATATACACAGGAGATGTCCATGCATTTTTTTTTTGAGATACGGTGAAAGTAAAGATAGAAGTGGGTGAGTGGGAAGTATGGTGGGGTGGGAGGAGGTGGAAGAGGTATAATCTTACAGGGTTATGCCCAGAGTGATACATCAGGAGACCTGATGGTTGTCCATAATGACAAGAAAGCAGATTAAAGTCTGTAATAGCCTAGAGGGTGGATTTAAGTTTTATACACCTTCTTGTCTTCATCCTCCCAACACTTAGGCCTGATAAAACCCATGGGAAAAGCTATTTTGTTTTGTGATTGACATATGGCCCTGCAGTAATCCTGAGATGATTTTAATATATGGCTTCTATGGGAAAAGATGCTTCAGTAGCATTTCAATCAATCTATAATAACATACTGATGCCTATCCTAAATCCTATGCTATTTTAAATGCTATGGGAGTTACAAAGAAAGGATGCATCCTGCCTTCTGGGGACCACAGTCAGTTTGGAGAACATCGTTATACTTACAATACATGGCAGCATAGATGAGAAGTGTTAGGCAGAGAAAATTAAATAAGATACTCAGATAATAGGTAACTGATAGTATTTGAATCACTGTAGAGACTATTGGAGGAATACAATTATTACATTTTATAATCTCAAAAGGAGACAGCTTTTTTCCTACAGAAACTGGAAATGATACTTACGAGGCACACAGGAGCCAAATTTGTCAGGGAACTCAGATATCAAGTCGTCATTGATCCGATCCTTCATGGGGCCCAGGATAATCACTGGCCGGGTATAGTTTACTGCAGAGAAGGAAGGGAAGATGCAGATGAGGAGAAAGACTTGGAAATGACTACAAAACTGTCCTGCAAGGGTGATTCTTAAGGCGAAATTGCCAAAGAGTAAGAACTGCTGAGGGCATTACTTCATGGAATAAATTGCCCAGACAGCCTTGCATAGGGAAGTTTATGTTTAACACTGTAGGCTGGCTATGCCTACTTTCTGGAATTTGCTAACAGGGAAAAGCAACTGCAGTCTCTGTCAATGAAAGGAAACATTTGGAGGGGGTTTGCTTACTCTTAGGTTATGCCCACACAATGTCAAAACAACTACTGAATTTAGTCAATTGAGTGGGAGAAAAAAGATTCCAAAGCAGCTATTTGACCATTGTTCAGACAATGATTTTAAAAAGTAATTGTTAGTGGTAATGATACCTTATGCTTTTATAATTTTTTTCCTCGGCTCAAAATACTCTCCACACTCTGCTGGGGTTTTCCCAATTCCTTTGTATCATGGAGTTAGGAGGAACTCTAAAATTCATTTGGTACAATGCCTCATCGAATGCTTGAATTTTCTCTGCAATATCATTGTCAATAGCTAGTAGCCTCTGTATAAGGCTTCCCAGAAAAGGAAAAGCAGCCCACAGATGGCCTGTGTCTTAGGACAGGTCTCCTAGAAAGCCCTTCTCAATACTGAGCTGATGTCAGTCTCCCAGGAGATTTTATCCATCGGCCATAGAGGTGGGGCTCTTTACTGATTTGGATGCGCTCCTTCCCATTAAGGATCACTCATCTGGAGGGCTGCTCCATTCTCTTGGGAGCTGTCATTGCCCATGCTTTGAAAGGGAAAAAGTTTGTTTGTTCATAGGGCCAAAGAGAGAGCAAGTTCTGGTTGAGTATTAAGCAGAGTTTATTTTCTAGTCCTCCAAACTTTCCCTCCTGTAATGGTGTCACTTGTTGTGGCTTGGAAGTCAGAAACCAGAGCACAGTGGGAAACTTACTTTCCTGCCTTGTGACAGGCTCATAAGAAAGAATGAAGTCTTCTTGCCCTCCTGAGAAGAGAAGAAAGAAAAATTACAGTGGACTAACAACCAGTCATATGCCACAGCTACAAGCCCTGCTCTGAAATACAGGAAACAGACACAGTTAAGAGTTAATTTTCCTTGCTTTCTCTCCTTGAACCAACCCCAAATCCCTTCATCCTCATAAAACTCTTAACACTGGGGCTGGCCCAGTGGCGCAGCGGATAAGTGCGCACGTTCTGCTTCAGCGGCCCGGGGTTCGCCGGTTTGGATCCCGGGTGTGGACATGGCACCGCTTGGCACGCCATGCTGTGGTAGGCGTCCCACATATAAAGTAGAGGAAGATGGGCAAGGACGTTAGCTCAGGGCCCGGCTTCCTCGCGAAAAGAGGAGGATTGGCAGCAGTTAGCTCAGGGCTAATCTTCCTCAAAAAAACAAAACAAAACAACACTGTTACACTGTCAGGTTATTGACAGTCATAACTCTAAGTAACTACTGGAGGCTAGATACCTGCAGCTCAGCAGGGCAGTGACCTATGAGACTGCTTTCCGTCTGACACTGAGAAATGGAGTGCCACGGCCTCTACACTAAGCATCATTACTTAAAGGAAACTGTTTAGTTCAAGGAGAGGGTCCATCCAATAGTTTGTTGCCACATTATCAGAATTTCTGGACCTTTTATTTCATCTTCTATTTCGCAAAGAAGCTCATTGTTCAAAGACAAGTGTCTGCTAGTTTCATTTATGATACAACATCTTCATCAGTATATACTACAGGACACTGAGGATTCTGCTCTAAGGATAATTCGTCAGAAAAATGCTGAGTCAACTCAAGAAGATAAAAAACTGAGGAGGACTCTAAATCACTGGTAATAATTGCTGCTAAATCTAGCCTTGAAACTTTGGAAAGAGAACTAAGGAAGACAATGTAGTAACAGCGTCAGCCCTTCCACTGTTATTTGCCCCAAGCTTTCTGATTCACAGTGGGCCTCAATTCTACAAATAACCACGGAAAGTAAGTTGGTTTTAGGCAATCATTTTTTCAGTCATCTGTTTTATCCAATTGAAGAACCAGGCATGAGATTAGCTTGTGTCAGCTGCAAACCCAGAAGGGTCTACTCTTTTATGTGCATTAGGGCTAGGACTGACTTTCCTTTGGTGGAGAAATAGTTTAGGGTTGTTGAAAAGGACTTCCCGTCTGCTGTTCTATAGAGGAGGGGTATCACATGAGGCAGTTTCTCCTGAAACCAAAGGGCAGCGACTCTCATTGCTTTGTCTCCTCATCACTCCTGAAACACTTCCGCAGCCTGTCAATGCCACGTGCTCCTCCTTCAATAGCCAGAGCATCATGTGAGGTGAGTTCATTTCATAAAAGGAGTTAATATCACAGACACTTTTGATAGTGAGAATGATTTCAGGAAAGTAAGCAATACGAGGATAAAGCTGTGAAGTGCAGATGTCTTCCCTGGAGACTGGGCAGCTGGAGTGGGGTGGGGTTGGGGGTGTCTTACTTTTTCAAGAATGAGAAATGGCACCAGGCCTATGTCACATCCTACCTTACCCTCAAGCAGGGCCTACTCTCAAAGTGGCACTGCTATGCCAAGCTACTTCCTAAAGGCCCAGAGAATGGGCCTTGATTCTCCTTCTAAGTGGCAGTTACTCGTAGCTGCCCCAGAAGTGTTCAGGGGACATTTCCACATCTGGGCAGGGGTTTGGTATATGAAGAGTCAGATTCAATTTTTTTTTTATTCAGGAAAAAGTGATTCCATTTTAATAAGCTAAACTACTGAAATTTATAGAAGCTAGGCCAATAAACAAATAAATGAAGGTGACTGATTGCTAAATCCCAGTTATCTAAAGCCTGAGATACATAGAGGTCATAGGAATTCAGAAGATATGGGTAAAAATGGTGGCAAAAAAGCATAGCTCTAGGGATAGAAGCATGGCAGACTAACATGGCAGTGTTAGACTGTAACTTTACAGGGAAATCTCCGTGGAATGAGCAATATGTGAGAGGAGAATCCAGACCATGGCATAACAAAGGTTTTAAGCATCAGGTGATACTTATGCCTCTCCACTAGACTGGGAACTCCATAAAGACAGAGATCAATGAGTTTGCATTATGATTTTAGTGGTAGGAAACAGGCCGAGCAGTGAGGCCAAAGATAGGTTCTACTTTGTGCTTCTACCTTTATGCTTTCACTTTGGGAAGTGTAGTTTTCTCTAAATAAATATAATATGTCATGTTCCCATAGGAGTCTCTTTGCAATGACCTTGCAAATCATTCTGATGGGACATTCTAAAGGCAAACCTTAAATAAGACAGTTGGTGTCAGTACATATAATTTGTGATTCAGAAAACTAAGACAAAGCAACATGGATTTGATTAACTTTGTTAGGGAGTTCTGTCGTTCTTTGTTTATCTGTTGCTTGCTGGTTTGCTTTCTAACTTACAAAAGGCACTGGTTCTTGTTCAGAGCAGTAAGACTGGCAGACAGCAGTGGCAGAATCCCTTGAGTCAAGGCCCACTCCGATTCTAAAGACCCTGTGACAATCAGGTACTGTGTAAGGAAGTCTACAGGAAAGCTACGGTGGCCGCTGTTACATAATAGCTGTGAACTCAGCACCTTAAACCAGTTTTCACTTTCAGGTTCAAGAATGACAAGCTCTGTGGTTAATGGGAAGGAGATAAGAGGGGGAGGAAAAAAAAGTCACAGCAATGAAGGAAAGATAATTCATGTTTGTATGGCACTTTCGAGGCCATGACGGGCTTTCACATCCATTGGCTTTGATTTTTCCCAGCCATTTCATTTGATGTAGGTGTGCTGACGATCCCATTTTACAGATGAAGAAGCTGAGGCTGAGAGACGTTAATGGGGCCTGTTTCCTCAGTTAGTACAAAGTGGAGTCAAGATTTAACTATGGAGTTATCTTTTTTGACTCCTTGTTGAGTATATTACATTGTCTCAAAAAGGCCAGAGATGTAGAATTCTCTGTGGGGGCTGGGATGCAGGGGCCAACCTTACAAATGAACAAAGGATGGGTGGCACAGATAGATAGAGCTGCACCTGGATCAGAGTAACTGAGAGGCCAGAAGGTGCTCCATCTGCAAACACGAACTTAAAAAAAATGCTGCCATGTCATCTCCATAAAATAGTCATTCTTAGTAGTTTTTCTATTTTTTGCTCAGGAGGTGTTGGCACTTAGAAATAACAGCTGACAACAAGGTATAAAATATTACTTGGTCTTGTTTTGGCAACTGCATGGCTGAAAGTGGGAGAGCAGCACAGTGCTGTGTGTGGACGTCCGCAGCTGCCAGAGACTTAGCTGAGGACTTTGTAACTGCCTCCATGAGACACTTTGTGTTTAAACTGGAAGCAAGTCTCAATGAGATGTTCAGAGTAAGACCCTAATATGCCCTCGTGATAGAGAAGAGCAAATTACTGTTTTTTACGAATTTTTGGAAACTGGAAAACAGACAGGAGGGAAGTGGAGACCACTGGTGGTACATTTAATGTTCTAAATTTTGTATTTAGTGCCTGCATTTGATGATTATTAAGGATAATTAGGTTCTTAGAGCCATCCTTTGAATATTAGTGCTAAGAAAGGGTTTGGAATTCATGGTGTTCATAAATAGAAAGTGTGTAGCACATGTTGCCACTCCCCCATTCCATGCCCTTCACAGGCATCACAAATTGATCATTGCCCACATTAGCGCTAAGCCTCAACTTGGCCTGAATACTTCTCAACACAGCTGTCCAGGCAGCTATTACCATTGGTCAGAGTTGGAGTCTTGATTAAAATCTACTTGCCATCTCTGTTCTAACCCAAGCTACTCATTTTACATAGGAGAGACCTGAGGTTCAAAGACATTGATTAATTTCTTCAAGGTCACGTAGTGAATTAGTGGTTCAGTGTCTTGCTAGGACGTGCAGAGGATTAAATCAGTTAATACACATTGATTTCTTAAAATTAGGCTTAGTACATTGTTAAGGCTATATAAATGTTGCTTCTTATGTTAATTTGATAGTATGGAATGGTTGACATATACTAGATAAAATGTGAAAAGGCTTGGATTACAAACTACAGGGAAGAGTGAAAATGCATAGGATTCAGCATTAAAATGTCTTGGTTGGACTTGCAGTGACACTGTATTAATGAGGTATGTAGACTCTTGGAGCTTCAGCTTCCTCACCTGTAAAATAGAGTATTAATATAAGATATATCTCATAGTTTTGTTGCAGAAATCAAATGAGATAATAGATGTAATGAAAAATTGCTTTGTACAGGCTAAAGAACCAGAGGAGATATAAGGGCAATATTAAGAAGAGTTGAGAAAGGAGAAGAATACGGGTGCCATTTTGACTGATTTCAGCGGGAAAGTCTTGAGCCTCCTCATTTCAGCACCTCAATTTCACTTAGATGATTTCTTTAAGATCTTTGTTTTAAAAATCCTTCCATAACTGATGACTATCAACGGGTTAGAAGGATAGTTATCAGCTCCCTCATACCCATAATGATATAAAGGGCTTTACTGAGCTTTTAGGAAGACAGGTGTTGAGCTGTAAAGATTTGCAAGGCCTCCATTATACCTACATGGTCTTTACCACCTCCAACTACAAGGACAATTGAAAGGTAAGATACAAAACAATCACAAATCAAGCCTGCACTTTACTACTTTGTTGACAGACAGAAATCTGGAATTACCACATATTAAGATAGTTTTGAGGTGGTATTTTGCATAATTAGACAATGTGCACAGTAATAAACTGCATTTTAGCTAGTGCTTAATATAGTTGGACTTTGAAAAAACAATTATTCTATAATACTTGAGATGGTGCAACAAATGTCTGAGCTATGTACTAGAAATTGAGTCTCGTTTAAATGCATGTGTGTGTATCTCAGGAAACATATGAGGCTTTCAAGCAGGGTTGGCACAATATACAACTCCAGGATGCAGTGTGAATGTGCCCCCTGGAGTTGTGAAACACAGTGACCTGGGCCTTTGTTTCTAACCACTGACCATTTTTTAA